AAAATCAAAAAATAATCGTTAAGAATGCGCAAGTCGCCGAATATGAATGCCTTCTAAACTTCTCAATGAAAATCGCTATTCAGCTAACGATAAAACATTCGAATCAATTTCAAGTAAGCATGATCACTGTGAAGTGGACCGACTGATAACATACGGAAACTGACTCAATTTCCACCCAATCCAAACCGAGCGGGCAATGCTTCAGACCAGCTCGCACCACCAAACGACCCGTATTCGATTGTAGAGCCCATACGGCCACCTCGCTTGCGGTTATGCACTCCAACGACCAGGCCGACTCACAACGGCTCAGTATGCCCATTTCGGGAAGACGTAATTGCACGTATACCTCAAAGACGACACGTACACCCACAACATTAGAATTTACTCAGTTCACTCTATGACTAGCACAGAATTCAATTCAAAAGAGACAAACGATTTACCAAAAACAAAAATCGATCAAAACACAAAACAAAGCACGGAAAAGAGAGTTTCAAAAAAAATACTTCTCTCAAAAATAAGCTCAAGTTCACTAACCTCTCCATTTTTGGTTGTATACCAAGCGGTCTCACGGGTCAGCGCACACTCGACGATACCACCACCCTCGTTCGCGGCCATCACCCACGCCAACGAACACGGACGTGAACAGCTCGCTTCGTTTGACAATGGCGAATAAGCTACTCCTTTATGTATCCTCCACACCAATGTTCCTTCATCTGAACGAACCTTCATTTGTTTTCATCATTCATAATTTCATTTTAATTTATGCCAGCCACAAATAGCCACTACTTTTATCTGCTCGACTGAAGAAATTAGGAACCGTTGGTGAACAATTTTTACAACAAACCATTTGTTTGTATCATCTCGGCATCATTTTTCATCGGTATCCATTGTGTTTTATCGACATTCGGCAACTGCATATAACGTGGTTTTTTCTTCTTCTTCGCGTGACATATTACGACGTACTGCGAAGTGACCGAAAACGATGTACATGAATACGGCAGGTTTATCTGCAAAACATTTATGTGAACCACTGACATCAGCAAGCTTTCGTTCCAATTGACAACTTTCAAAGCAAAAAAGAAACACACAACAAAACCCATGCATATCTCAACAAATAAAGGAACTCTTTAGCACGTCATTGATAAGATAAACGCTATGGAATAAAAAACTTTTCGAAGAGATTTTTCTGTTTCAAAGGTCAAAAAGACGTGTCGTTTAAAGAGAACCCCTCAACACTCGATAAAACAGCACTGACCTCATTCCAAATATCACCTCGATCATTCACAATAATTCCCTCATCGTACGTTTCGTCAGCGAAATACTCCAAACATTCTTGTGTACCCTAAAATCAGAGCGCATTTCCATCACCAATCGCCATGCTTTCACACCGTAATTAAAACATAATTTCTCTACTTTATTTTATGAAACAGCAATTAGTCTTTGTTTTTTCTTGTAAAATATAATGCGTTACATTAGAGAGATGCTA